ACAGTACATCCTTGTGTGTGTGTGTGTGTGTGGTAATAAATTAACGGCGACCACAGAAAAGGAAGCAATTAACCAGGAGTTGGAGAACTTGGTCGGCCTGTACACGAGCCACACGCAAAGCTTGTCATCCATGTTGGTCCATGAAGGCGGTAGGGAGGGGGAGGGGGTGGGGTTGAGCTCGTGCCTTTCACATCCGCCCGTCTACACCACCACCACAAAATAGTTTACTGTCTAGGTTGGCGATAGGCCGCTCGGAGCCCGCAAAATTAACAGACACAGGATGGTAGTCATGATGGCCGCAGTTATCAGATGGCCGGAAGGTTAGTGTGTTTTGAACTTTCCGAAAAAGGTGACTGAACTCAGATTTTCGTGGTCATTACGGCCGAAATCGGTTTTTCTGAGGGTATTCACTTCTTTCCCGCTAATAACAGGGCTACGCTGCAGCATGTCCCACGGGAAATGGCTTGCTCCAGGAAGGGGCTTGTTAAGAAGGACAGGGAAAAGTTGGCGATGGTGTGAGATGGGACCCAAATCACACAAAATGACACAAGAATATGACTGATATATCACTAGATCACGCACGTAGCGCATAGCACTATTGCTCTCATTACAAATTTCCCGAGATTCACCAAAAAATGCATCGCACACGAAGGATTTGACGACAAATTAACGAATTTACCCCATTTTCGTAAGTTTCCACACACACACACACCTTGCATCAGATTAGTACAAAGTTAATGTCTGTTTTTACTACATAACTTACAAAGTCAGAACCGGAAGGCTTGAGTGGTGGCCCTACCAGACTTTGGGTTGAGTGATGCACTATCCTTGGACTCCATCCCAAGTAAGCCACCAGGATTCGAAATTTGATAAAACGAATGGTTTCCGCAAGTCACCACAGCCCCGTAGTTTGTCTCAGGCACTCAAAAAAGTCACTCAGACCAAATATCCATACCCCGGTGTGTATACTAGTCTTTTGGGCAACAAATTAGATATTGTTTCGCAAATTATCAGCACATAATTTGTTCAGTTGGATGCACCAATTTGCTCCTCATTTTAAATTGACATAGGAGTAAGTTATCAGACCACCCAGGTGAGGGGAGGCGCGCCCAAAGTATAAAACAACCAAGACGAGAAGAGCATTGGTACTTAAATGCGTGTGCGCCTGTCCGTTGTCATGACAACCATCATCACTCCTTAATGGAGTCCTCGTAGCTCAGTTAAAAGTGCCATTTTACTGGGTCAAAACAGAACAACTCAACTACAATCTATTGCGTGCTTTAAAATTGCATTTTATCATAGTTGGAGGCACTGGCGTCTGTGGGTGACGTTTGCCACTTCTAGGCTGCTGCTTTTTGACCCGCTGAACGAAAGACCAGGAGGCGATTGCAAAAGTGCCGAACTACACAATCCACAACCCGAGTCTGCACGAGCTTATCCTCCCGGCACAAGCCCATCGGGTTTTTGTCGCCAATTTTCTGCCTCCAGTGGGGAAGGAATGAGCAAACAGGATAAAGTGAGGGTAGAAAAACCCCAGTAGTCTGCCCTCTCTTCCCCTTTCCATGCGCATGGCCGTTTAAGAGAAAGCAAGGCAGCCATTTGCAGAGGGTTTCCCCGCACGCACACAAACGTCCATGTGTGAAAACGCGAGTCCCCGCTCCACAATGCCCGTGGGCGCAGTTAGGGCGGAAATCAATGTCCCCGGTGGGTGTTTTGTGGTTTGCCCACACGAAACCCGTTCCACAAATTACTGAAGAGCACCGCTGGGGTGTCCCGCTTAAAAGAGGTTACCAAGCCTCGTGCATGTGAATACAACCTGAGAATTTGCGTTAAACTACATGCAAGAAAACTAGAGCTATTAATGAATACAGAAATGTGAATGTGTCAATGTAGGCACACGAAAAGGATTGCCAACAAGCGCTGGTAGGCACTGGCACATAGTTTTCCGCCGCGATTGTAAACTGCAATTGTGCTGACCTTAGTGGTTTAGGTCTTGGCATTGCCACACGCGAGACGCGTCCTTTTTTGTAGTCCATTTCATGACGTGAAAAACATTCACATGTACGCACGAGGTTGGAAAAAAAATCATTTTGGCATCCAAGCAAAACGCTACAATTGGCCAACGACGCTGCGATTCAAAGAGCCACTGGAAAGTCAGGCAGAACGCCAACTGTGTGACGCACTATGGGCTAGCGACGGGGGTTGGTTAGGGGTTAATGCTAGGAAGCTGCGAAAGAAAAGAACTAATGGAGTATCCCAGTGATTGAATCACCCATGTGTGATGCATTTGTGCCCAAAAAACCATATGCTCTGTGAACCGACAAGTCCTTTATCCAGTTTCTTTTGAATCACACAATCTGGTAGCGGGTAGGAATGACACAAAACGCGAATTAGTTGACGACTAAGCAAGCAATGAAGCGAGTAAACTTCGGAAATCGTTCCCCGAGTATGAAGAACTGATGATCTGTCTGTTGGAATGTGACTCACGCAAAAGTGGTAGAGGTTTTGGATAAATCAAGTGACTACGAGGCTTCAAGTGGGGATTAGTACGTGGTGTAGCCGCTCGCAGCTTTAAACACTGCCGGGTAACAGTGATCGGCCACTAGCACGAAATCGCGCGTTTGTTCTCATACCAAGTTAAATAACTAAAGAAGAGGCAAAAAAGTACAGAACATGAAAGCGTACACGTGTTTGCCAGTTCACTTAAAACTCGTCGAGTACGCACGCTAGCAGCATCCGGGCATGGCGAATGACTCCTCGTTCACACGCACACACACAAACATGCTACGCTGTGTTTCTTTTTCATGCCTTTCTTTGAACTGCTGGCATAATGCATTTGAAGTTAGGCTGAGTAAATCGCTGTGTATATACTAACAGGCAGTAACAACAAAAGGCTTTTCCACTGATATGAAATCCGGACTTGGATTAACAAGGAAAACACTTGATCTGGCATAATTAAGCCACAAAATATTGCGGAGCATTCAATTGGAGAAGGGTCTGAAAGTGTTTTAGGAGCCTGGAGAGAACACTAGCCAAATACGGCAACGAAACAAGTGTTCTTACTAGCAGGTTTCATCAGTAAAGACCTCTGAGAACTCCAGAAACAACAAAAGTAGCTACAATACACTTCAAAGTCAAGCGCAAGTCTTCAGAAAAGTCCAAGAAATTTGATATGAATACGCAGCCGAAAAAAACAACAACCAAATCAACATTAACTGGCCCAAATACACCCCGAAAACATATAGCACTTACCTTTCGGAAAAACACTTTCTTGTTCCCATTTAAATATTGTGCAGACAACTAGGTAAGGGGTACTTACTTTGTCAAAGAAGTAAGGAAATATGAGTCCGTTTGAACTGGCACGTGCATATCCGTTTGATATGCAACACAGCCACATAAACATGTGGCCTGTCTTTGCGTCACAGCCTGTCCGTCGGGCATTTGCCGTCATGAAATCGGATACATGAATGAATGCATACGCCGCTCAGATTATCACCACTAGAGCCATCTACTGCGTGAGACAAAGGGAATTGTACACGGATCTCAGTAAATCAACAATGGACCCTCAGATAGCACCTTTAGTGGTTCCTGCGTTTTCCCGCTCCCAAAAGATAGGAAACAGTGGCAGCTGTTAGAAAAAGCGGCGGAAAACGTGTGACTACTAACTAGAAGGTTCCCGCTCTAGCACAACGACAAGCCGCAGAAAAATACGCGGAAAGAAATGGCCGAAGGAATTGGACAACCATCTTTAGTGAAGTCCAGACGGAAGCTGGTGAAACAGAGCACGTATCGGTGTAGCATGAGCTGCGTCATCAACGAACAGGAAGGCAGCCAGACAATCCCTTGAGGGAAGCAGAATGCTGTCTAATGTACAGTAACTGAGATGACGACCATTGGTATCACGAATGTCCTGTCTAGTCGCCTGTCATGTCCCAAGACCGGTGACAGCTGGAGTTAACTGGGGTAAATCTGCAATCCGACTGTCACCCCGAGGCGCGTCAACTCGCAGGCCTAACCTCCTGCCGGCCAACCTTCACATCGTGAGATTCGGCGTGGACAAAACCACAACTAACTGCATCAGTGACGTAGACAGGCGTTAACGCTTGTCTACCGCGTGAGGAGGAGTTGAACTTTGGGGAGAGAGTGTACAGAGCTTAAAGCTTTATGACAGTCTGATTGGCTTCCGCAGATGTAGTTTCCAGGTTGACGGTCAGCGGTGTGCTGGTGACAGCCATCAAGTGGATTTGACTGTCCACGTACAGCCATATCTTTTTGTGTGATATGAGGCTGGGTTGGATTTTATCCGTGGTTTTGTCTCCCTTCAATTTTAAGTCAAAAAGAGAAAGGGGAACAAGCGGCTGAGTAAGCGGTTAGGCCCCTCGGAAAAAGTTCCCATCAACGCATATTTGCGTAGTTATATGGCTTAACCTTCAGGTCAAGTGTTCACGTCATTTGATATAATACGACGTTATAAGTACTCCTGTGGTTGGCGTATTCGGAAACTTTACCCACAAGAACCAACACGTCCGACACAAGCCTGGCCCCAATTGCAGTGAGGAATACGATAACACTTAAATAGTTGCATTTGATGAAAAATCGCCTAGTAAATGCACCCTAGGCACAAAGAACGGCTTGCATTCCTGTCCGCCGTCACGCCCCTTAGCAGGAAAGAGGAGAAGTGATCTGCCCAGTGGCGGATGAACGTTAAGCGTTTGATGGGCTGGTCATCACGCTGTCTGATCGCGTTTTTTGCACGCGCGAAGCGCTGTGGAGGTGGAAAAAACAGGGCAGACGGATGTAGCAGCCTGCAGTATGCACCAAGCAACCAGCGTTTGGAAGTTAACTGCTCCAGTGTGCCTAGTCGATCGGCAACCACTCTCGCCCCCACCTCGCAACAAGTAGACAAATAAGTTGGAAAACCAGTTCGAAAAAACCCTAGAACTGATTCCGAAGGGAATTTCTTCAAGCAAAAAGCCAACAGCTGACAGAAACGCGGATCTTCAGGGAAGACTGCCATTTACGAGTTCAGGATGCGTGGGGCTTTCGGGACTAATACGACACTCTTCTACCAACGCGTCCTGAAAGCGACCCGACAAGTTAACGCAGCGCCCTTTCTCCCAAAGGAAGGTAGAGTGAGGGCGAGACCTACTCGGAGCACCCAAAATTTCCCATAAAACGGTTTGTGCACGCGCCGATGAGTCATCCGGTGACCCCTTTTCGCCCGCCCAACCCGGACCACCCACAACGCGCGCGTGCGCCCGTGCCACGGTGAGTGCAAATCCCAGGTGGTCGTGGCCGACCTCTGTGCGAGACATTAGACGGCCTGAAACCTCCTTTAAGTAAGACGAAGTGTCACCCACGCACGAACCAATGCTGGCGATGTTTCTGGAGATTTCGCCATAACTAACCGGTCCGTCCAGCTATGCCTAACCTACGAAATGAGTAATTTACGCAAATTGAGTGATTTTTTATTGTTGTCACACGTAAGAGCCACTATTGCTTCCTCATTAGAATGAGACACTTCAATTCCGACCACAATATTAGCACTCACACGCGCACACACAAGGACTAGGGCTGAATAATAGTTTCCGCGTTAGTGGTGAATTTGCATAAATTGTGTGGTCAGATTAAGTCGCTCCTGACTCAGCCACTGAATTCACGCAAAACAGGAAGCCTGAGGGCTCCCAACTAATCAGTCCTTGGCAAACCGATGGGTCGGTTGAGTGACGTCGCATCAGGTATTCACCTTGAAAGGGGTAAAACGCGCGCAAAAATTCACACAGGCTATGATTTGAAAACAAAAGTGTCGCCAGGCTTCATTTGGAGAAAAAAAAGGAGAACTACGAGACCCGGTTGGAGGAGAAAAGGCGTAACAATGGCCCACCCACGAGGCTTTCTCGCATTTGAACGACCCACCCTCTCTTACATACACCCGCACGGAAGTGGCCTGGTTCCTCTGCGCGCACACACACACACACACACACACGTGGGGTGTCCGACAGTGGCGCAGGGGCCACGGATTTGCAAAAATAACAACCTCCAGCAGTGGCTTCCGTGCGTTCCAGTTTCACGGGGTATCACAACCAGCGCAGATACTAACGCGCATATCGGGGCCACGCTGCTCAAAGAATAAACTGTGAAGTATTTACTCAAGGGCGTAACCCACCGCGCTGGTTGGGAATGCCAAACAGCGACAAGCTGCAGCGGGAGTGGGTGCTGTTTTAGTGGCGAAGACCGCCTTAAATGGATCAGCACCGGAGAAAGCGGTGGATAGTTGCAGGCCAAAACAGAGAGGGAATTGGAAGAGAACAGACTTCTTTCGGAGACTTCCACACGAACAGCGACCCTGTTTAACTCCATTCGGGATTAAAAGCAATTACATGCCCATCTGCAGGGAGATTTGTCGCATAAACCATTCACTGTTAAGTATATACAGGGATAAGTATCGTTTCTCAATCGTGTGAAAATGAGTAAAGGGGATTTGTTGTTAATTTTTGGGCGCACCAAACGCAAGCCACGTGGAATTCAGAAACAACTTTACATACGCACATATACACTGGATTTAAATTTTTAAGACAGTTGGAACATATTTTGCCCTGTCCTTGGGGGTTTCTGCGCATCTCACTAAAGACATAGATTACTAAAAAAGACCCAGGTGGTTTGTGAATTATAAATGAATGCAGAAAAAATATCTCAAGTTAAAAGCAGTTTAGGAGTCATCAAACAGCAAGAACTGTATCCCGCCAGAAGGGAGGACGAAGTAACGAAGATGCCAATAGCTGCATAGTTGGATTACATAGGAATTGATGTCACTGAAGCCTTTTAGAAAACGTGAGGGGTTTTGACGACTAACTCTACGCATTGGCCAGCAACACACTCAGGTTTGTGGCGGTCTTTTGAAAGAAAACACAGAAAAACGCCAACAACCCACGAATGTCAGTGCCGAAGGGTGGTGAGGAAGTAGTTCTTGCAGAAATCGCTGGAACTACACAACGGTCGTGGAGTCGGAGACTGTTTACATGCACACACACGGCGAGAACGACATTACCGCCAGGACTAGGCAAGATTTGTAGAAACGAACTGCACCTGCGCCGAGCGAACTGCCACATAAACAAAACACCAGTGGGGTACGTACAGCTGTGCTGGTAGTAAATTTAAAGACCACACACGCCATGGGGTTAGACACTGTGGCACATAAGGCGGAGCAGACCAGTCCGAACAGGTCTGTGTGCGCCCACCCACCGGGCGGGCATAGAGAAGTCGAGCTCACTCCACCCACGCCTCCTCCTCATCCTCCCACCACCACCACCCCTAAACCGATTCGTCACCCTACGCGCCGAGCTGCCGCAGCACTGCGTGGGGCATTTGTTCTCACCTGGACAGGCCGCGGGGCTCGATTTATGAAGAGGTCCGTCAGAAGCCCCTGCGCACACCCGTCGTCTGCTCGCATGAGAACCCCCGAGCTACTGAACGATTCAGAGCAGGAGTCGTGTGTGTGGCTGGACGAGCTGGCTACTCTAAAAGCAAATCCTATTGTAGGCTTCTGTGCTATTTTGCACTGAAGGCGTTGGATCGCGACCTGGCATTGTGTCTGATCAATTGCTCACCTATTCGGGTGTGTATTTGTACGAGTGGTTCCTCAAACATGCACTCAAGGGATCAAACGCAGTCGAAGACATGCTTCCCCAAGAAATTCGCGTACCTACACCTATTTGGGTGTCAGAATTTTGTCCCTGTTTATTCTGGAAAGTGCCCTCACATTTGCTAAACGTTTCGACAATAATAATCTCAGGGTCAGAAACCGTTCGTTAGACAAATCTGACCAGTTACCAGCCTGGCGTCAATTAATGAGACCTGATGTACAGCTAGTTATATGCAAATTACCAAATCAGTAGTAACTTTGACAACGGAGAAACCTGATGGTTTTTTCGTTTGTCAGCCAAATCCAGACGCAGATGGGTCCACAAGCGTAAATTCACTAGTTCAGAGCCCACTAAAACCAATTTTGTGAGAAGCTACTGGTGTGACGTGACTTGGACACGTCTTTTATGTGGGACGATGGTGAATGCGTGGCAGTGTATCACAAACACGAGATCGCGGACATCGATGTCGAAATAAATTTAAATGTGCAGTCATGAGGCAGAGGCCACCTTCAAGTGGATCACAACCATTTGGAGGCTGATTTCATAAATCCAGATTACTGCCACCTCGGTCAAACTAGACGCCCACTCAGTGAGTGGGTTATCCCATAAACCCAGAACCAATTAGAAGAAAAACAAATGCATAATTGCCTTTTAGCTAGCAGGACCTAGTTACGGATTTTTCTAGGGGTGAAAGGTTAATCTTAGCGGCTTTGGTTTAAGTAACTAGCGGTTCGGTAAAATGGCTAAGATCGGAGAGATCTCAAATGGATCACTTTTGTGAAGTGAATAGCCTACCGCACATCCATCATGGACGACTGAGAGGCGCTACTCAGTCTAGGCCTTGAAAATTACTGGTCTTGGGTCAATTTCTGCCTGGGATTCCACCACGTGCAAAACGTGCGGTCATTTTAAATTATCCCATCAACGCAGCTAGACTGGCGATTTTACCGCTCCTTGGTGCAGCTATGCGCAATCGCAGATACACAGAGAGGGAGGTGAAGAAAAAACTAAAATTTGATTAATTATAAGGCGGTCAAGAAGGCAGAAGCGGCAGTAAAAGCAACTGTTTTGAGAGGCCTCATTCGGACCGAATAAGCCCCCATAACAGCTTCGCATTAGTGATGGGTCCTTCGACGTCGCGGAATTCACAGTCCTAATGGAGATTTGCAGCAGTTTAGGCGCCGTTGATTGGGCACATCAAAGCCAAACGATTTCAGTGAATGTCCCATGAGTGTCGCCCTCTTAACCGTGTATAATTTGCAAAAATTAATGGGGGCATGGGGGCGACAAATGACATTGCGAGGCCCCCGATGTGTCAGTTGTTCGCAGTGGCATGCTTTCAGCACACAGGAAAAGGATGTCTGATGGGACCGACATGACTACCCTCCAACCAATAAGCGACCAGAGTTTTCCAGATATGACGACAAGGACGCGAAGTGCATGCTGGGGTAGGTCAGAAGTTGGCCACCAACAGGACGAAACTGGTGATGGGTAAATTCGTGAGTATTAGACTCTTCAATCACCACCGTCCCCAATTCCTGTCTCTTTGTATAGTTAGGAGCCGTCACGATCAACAACAAGGTGAATATTTCCCCAAGCCAGATCTCAGAGCATCCCGAACCGTGAGATATTTCTTGAGCTATAGCCAATTGAGCCAGCTTCATCATGTTGACTACAGTGTCGCGGTTGTAGATACTTTTCACCGACGACAAGCGAAGAAACTAGGCACTTGTGGACACTTGATTTTTTCCTTACAAAGCTCACTGAGGCCATAGAAATCCTAATCAGTGGTAAGTCGATTCTTGACCTTTAGCTCATCTCAACACGTAACTGGGCTTTTCCGTCCACAGCAGGTCAGTTAAATAAAGGAGTTTAACTGTATAACGACAAGGCAAGCCAAACCGCCCAGATACCGGTGACGATCGTCAAAGTAAATTGACCTAACGATGTAAGGTGGACACTTATTTTCTCCTCTGCCGCAAACTCTTGTTGGTTTTTCTGAATGTTTGCTGGGAGCTTACACCCATCTCTTGGCTCTAGCGAAAGGGGATAAGTGTAGGAAAAAAGCACTTCACAGAAAACCCGGAACCCGCATAAACGCCCCACTGCGAAAGCAGAAACAAGCAGTTTGCGCGTCCATAACCACTTGTGGGCATTCACGCACACACACACACACCTCTTACTTGCCAAGATTGACAACTGGGGAGGTGCCAAAACGTAGAGGTATTACCTAAGCACCATCATTTCGTTCAAGGAACTTCGTACTGAGAGGGCCACAAACGCACACGGAAAGTAGATAAAGTGAAGTCGGGAATCGAACCCAGACTCGAATAAGACATAAGGAATCGCCCATCCTACAATGTGCAGCAATGCTATGGTGGGGTTAATTACGCAAGGTGGGAATTTAAACGTGTATGCGATCCCGCCTTGACACAAAGCGAGGGAGACCTCGTTACATCGTATACGTGTCGATAGTTTAAATGAAAAAAATGGTTTTCTAGCGACTAAAACGCCTATAAAGGGTAGAAGAGCCCGTTTTTATCTAGCCCACAATCGGATACTCCGAGGTCATGTGACGGCAATCTAGTTACCTTACCGAAAAATAGTGGAACAAAAAGGCAACCTACGTCCCTTAAACAAGGGCTACGGATCATACCGTTTTTTAGGTGTGTAACTACGAAACACCGAGGAAGCTCTTTACCAGGTGACAGGAGGAAGTGTTCTTCAGCACATTAAAAAAGTATTTAAGTAGATAATATTATATCAGTGAGCAATCGCCCTAGGGATTATTTTAAATCACTGATGCCGCCACCATTGTCGTGCGTGCCATGAGGAGGAGGAAAGCAGATATGCCACAATTTAATGCCTCTACGGGAAGCAAGAAACCAAATGATAGTTGGCTGGTCGCGCTAACTGGCGTAAGCATTTGTTTGCCTAAAAGGCGGAGTTCGCTTTTACGAGTTACAGTAAACACACGTGAAACGGCGTCACGATTAATACCATCAGCGGATGGGCAAGGCGAGAGAGAGAGAGGGAGGGAGAGGTCAAGTAGGATGATCGCCACAAAGTGAAAGCCTTAGCCCCACACACCAACCTCGGAAGTCATAAACATCCCACCGACTAATTGCGAGCCAAACCACTTCATTACCGAGGCTGTCGAGGCACTTTCAGTGAGTTATTGCGTTAGGAGTGTGTGCGATGGTCATGGCAGCCTCACCTCGACGCCAAATCTCAGTATGTTTGGCTCAATTTTTGAGCACAGATGAACAATAACCTTGACTTAGCTGTGGGATTGAAAGGGAAGAGCACATGTGACAAGGAACAAGCCACAATATTCGACAGATGGCACCCGGTAGCTATGCGTGTCCAGCAGCCCACCTACCTCAGACCAGAGAGGTTGGAATAATCGGAGTGACCGTCGCTATAGCACGATTTCAAAGCAAGGAAATCATGACTCTACTCCCAGACTGGCCGAAGCATTGGAAGCACTGGTTATCAGAATTTAATGAGACTGCTGTCAACAGGGAGCAGACTTTTGTGCGGACGTTTTTTTGGAACTGCCTTACGGGCAAGGAGGACGCGTGGGTTAGAAGGCATGGAAACTCGAAACTGGTAAGCGAGACACTGAGTCACCCATGCCACTAGCATCGTTAATATTTTATGCTTAGAAATGAGGGGAGGACCAAGGGGAAGCAGAAGGAGACGAGTTGATATTTAACTGCTGGCTGATTGAACTGCTTGCACGATTAGAGGGGAGGGGAGTGGAGTTGGCCGGGGGAACGAGAGACACATCGTCTTCATTATGCAAAGGGGAGTTCTAAACACATATATCTCACCTCTCGCAATGCAAATTTCCTCCCGTTTTGGTAAAATATGACAACGAGTGCTGTCCACCATGACAACCTCCTTACGAATGTCAAAATTTCAGTGTGCCTTAACGTAATTAAACTTCGTTTCGACGGTACATACTCAAAAATAGTCAAATATCAGACCTTGATTGAAGATATACGGAGCCAGACTAAAGGTGCCACAGCATAACCCATTTTGGTATCGCTAACTTGATTTTTTACCCAAGACTACGATAAGGAATAAAATAAAACGATAAATGTTCCCAAAGTTATAAGAAAACGTCAAAAACCTTACCCTCTGGTAACAGTAATTCCCAAGTTTGTGAAGTGACAGGACAGAAGTGAGCCCAAGAGAGAAGGCCACATGTAACCAAGCGCGATCTTGTTGGGACCTCTACACTGTGTTCAGCTCTCGTTTATGTATTTAATTGGGCAGACCATTTCGCACATCTACGATTGGCTCATGCTCATTGCACTTCGTCCAATCGCGACGCACACCCATTCAGACAACTGACCAATGAGCGTGAAGGCTGATGTCCTAATGGCTTGGTGGCTGTGGTGAAAGGCACACATTCAGCGTTGTGTAAACCTCGTGCGAGATCCGCCTAGAGTTCAAAATCGAACAGTTTAAAAATGAAAAAAAGTAACTCCATGTCATACTTCGTCCAAGCCCAAACCTAAATGAAGCAGATTTAAACGTAAACAGGAGTTTACCTAAGTAACCCGCATTAGTCCATTTTGACGGTGAGAAAGGTCGTGGTTTTGATGATTTGACACGAAAAAGCACTTAACGTGTTTTGTGTGTCGAAGGGAAAAATATTTCCACGCCTTAAACGTGGACTGGTGGTCGCCGATCACATTATTTGGTTCCCTCAAAAGCCTAAGTAATCCACCAAAGCTGCATGTGTACTCAGTCTATCCAATTTTAACCTAGGTCTAACAATAGCTCGTGTTCACCAGGATACGTAGCCCACTTTATGGATTGTCAAGTGGGCTAAATGAAATCAACTTACGTTCATCGAAGCTTGTTTTTAGTCTACAATTTTGCAATCAATCTACCCACATTTTTGACTTGAAACATGCTTCGTGTGGTTTATGAATAAATACATGCGTGAACTGCTTTAAATGTCCACAATGTAGGGTACGAAAGGCGTTGCTTTTCTACTAAACTGACTTTCCATTTACGGAATACAGATCCGTGTTTAGGTGTTTTATCAGATCGGGTGGGATAGATAATCTGTTTCAGGCGTTACCTTAACGAGCTAACCGGCATATATTACAATTCACACACACCAGGTCACCTCACCTACCCAGGACAGGTGGGTTTGTACTAATAAAATTTGCCAGCCAGTTTTATTTCCTCAGCAAATGGGAGGAGCGTTTGCGAGTAGGCTTCCTCCTTCTTCAGCAGCTTCTGTGTTCGGAGTCCGAACTGATTGGATTGGAATCAGTTGTTGCTAAATCAAAATCCGATCATAGGTATAGTGATACAGGACCTGAGTCCACTTGTTTCAACGCTAAAATCCCGTAATCTGTTTTCATATATCTCAGTTTCATGGCGTGTCTTGTTTGCACGCTGCATACTTGCTACAACGGTGAGCATAAAACGCTCTGGTTTCAGCATACATCTTCCAATTTATCTTATTGACAAAAATACGAACCACTGTCCAAACATTTGGAACTACTAGAGTTTACGAATCGATCGGTCTGCCAGTAAAATCTGACGTGCAAGACGAAGAACCCAAAGCCCGACATTTAAATAAACGCTTCCATGGAATGTGGTTTTAGTTATGTTAAACTTGAATCTTATAATTATAGTAATTGAACTAGCGACTCCATTGCGGTTTAAATGACCTGGTAGTCGCCAGGATGATGAGAACACTATCTAGGTCGTTAGGCCTGAGCTGGTGACTGCTTCTGATTATGGTGAATTCAACCAACTACAAAATCGAACGTCAACAGGTCAACTAATCAGGGTAGAAGTTCCTTTTTGCCATCTACCATCGAAAGGATTGAATCGCACGTCAGAAAGTCGTGAGAAAACAATCATCTCTAAGTCTAGGAGATACAAAGCAATGGTTTGTTTCACATCAAAGCATTGACCTTGTAGCTGTCTATTTCAGAATCCACGGTGCATAGTACCTAAGGCGATTTTTGGCTTTCTTGTCGAGTCACTGTGGGAAACCGCGGAAACATTGGTCGGCACCAGCCCGTTGTTTACTGGAATAAACCAGAATTCGACATTGTCAAAAACAGAGCATTGTGCAACTCAGACTGGTTTCGTGTTCAAGGGAGAGGCGGTTTTCGTGGGCCTAGCGGGGCTAGTCGCAAACAGTATCACGTAGCTCATAAAAAATATGCTTTCGGGGTGAATAGACGCTAGGCACGCACTATCACACCTGTATTTGACGGCGGCACTGCATTAAAATTACTAATTCGTGTCCCCTGTGTAGCGGTTTCGGCAGGCACCAGCGCACAAACGTCTCGGCTTGACACCACCAGAAAAAATCCACAGGGAAAAAATGCGACACTCAGCGGTGTCACTCAGCCCCATAAAAAAACGCCCGAAATGTGATTAAAGGGGTAAACATTCAATGAACTGACTATTCGGCTTAATCTTAGAAGAAAATGGTTATTTTTACACGATGAGGAAGGACCATAAGTAAATTGGTTTGATGCGGGTTTTACGGCACCCACTTAACGCCAAGGTTATCACCGACTTCTCTGGATTTCTAGACGTCTTCTCAATGACCAGTTGCCACCGACTGTGGGATCACAAATTTTTGGCATTTTATGCTCCAAAGAACCAGTACAGAGTTGGAGGATATCGTGGTAATTGACTCCCATTTAAGTAGTCAGTGGAGTTCGCGTTGTCGCCATGAGTGTGTCCGGCTTCCAAGATGTGCTGGTCCTCTAGCTATGGATGCGCACACAAGGCCATAGCCTGGAATCCGATGAAGGGGAGGTTTTTTTAAAAAAAGGCGCACACACACACAAACAGGGGTGACTGCGCATGCCCCACACAACACCCTGCTTTCATGCGTATTGATGGCTGCACACAGCTGCAGAGAACGACGCAAAGGCCACAGACGCATGTGGAAAATACGCGGGATGTTCCAGTTGCTAGACGCCCATTTCTCGTTTGATTTAAGAGTTGAAAAAATTTTTAAGTGAGACTAATATTCTCGGTATCAGCCGAGGGTTGTGCTGTGCTGAAGCACATCAATTACCTTTAGGGGAAACAAACGGATCTGCTGGTTTTAGGAAAAATTTGTGGGGAGATTGCAAAAAATGCCACTTCCACATTCAGATCGAAGGCTCACAATCGACAGTTATGGTATTTCCAGTAGGATTAATTCATGAAAAGAACAGACGCGTATAGCCTTCAACAAACGGGTATCACGCGTTTGTGTCTATGACAAAGGTTGCTTCAAAAAGTAATTTTACACCTATTGTCTTGGTTCAAATGACCGAAGTTGCATCGAGTGATTGTGGGATTTTGTGCTTGAGTTGAAACGAAAGTACAAAACATCGCATTTACGCATGATATAATAATTATTAACACCGAGGTACTCCATATTATTTATCGCCCTAAGTTTGACAAGACTTTGAAGTCCATTGTTGTAAAAACCGCGCTTTCCTTAAAGCAAGCCGTAACGTATGCTTTGACTTCCACGTTTGAACTAATTTTCAGAGAACAAAA